AGCAGGAGGATCACTTGAGGCCAGGAGTTCAAGACTAGCCTGGGCAACATAGTGAGACCCTGTCTGTACAAAAAAATAAAAAAATAAAAAAGTTAGCTGGGTGTGGTGGCACGTGTCTGTAGTCCTAGCTACTTGGGAGGCTGAGGTGGGATCCCTTGAGCCATGGAGGTAGAGGTGGCAGTGAGCTATGATCACGCCACTGTACTCTAGCCTGAATGACAAAGCAAACTGTCTCAAAAGAAAAGGTACACTTTTCGTGTATTTTGCCATAATTTACAAAACAAAGCTTCTGGTAGCTGTAAGTTGACTCTTGTCGGGGGCTTGACTGGAGGCAGGGAGACCATGAGGAGGCCACTTTCATGGTCCAGGTGAGAGGCCTGAACCAGGACGAAGGTGCTTCCCCCTCCCACAGCTCTGAGGTGGGGAGGAGGGTGGGTTCTGGATGAAGTTTGAGGATGCACCAAAGGACTTGCCGGAGGATTGGCTGTGGGGCCTGAGAGAAAGGGAAGGGCTCTGGCCTGGGGGTAGGGAAGGAGGGAGGAAAACTGAGTTCTGCTCTGTCCATGCTGAGTTTGAGATGTCTGGGGTCATCCAAATCTGAGCTCTGGGACTGCCTGACCAATAGAATATTGTGCTAGGCTCAGGCCTCACGGAGCCAGCAGCTCCCACTTGCTGTCTCTTGGGCTGCTTACTCTTGAAATCCAATGAGTGAACATGCATCTGGGAGATTCTGCCCTGGCCACTATCTGACTGCAACCACATGTGAGAGGCACAAGCCAGAACCACGTAGCTGCGCCCAGCAAGCCCTCAGAACCAGGAACACGCAGGATAACATGGCGGCAGCGGCTGCTGCTTTAAGCCACTGAGTTTTGGAGTGATCCACTATATAGCAATAGAAAAATGAAACACATAGGTAACCAAGTTGTTGAGGATTGGTTCAGGAGACATGATGTTTTCCCCCAGTCACTTACATTCTACTGAGTAAAGATGTCTCCTTTTGACACCTTAAGCCAATTCTCTAACTTTTGAGCCCCTTCTGGTTATCACAATGGCACCATTCCTGTATTTAAGGCTGAGCCACGTTTCTTTGATAACTTAGCTTTCATCCGGACTGAAAAACATGGGTCTCGCCAACACCAAATTTGAAAGACAGCTGAGACCTCAGTGGTCTGGAGACGACAAGAAGGATGCCACTGTAGCCTGGATGTTGCTTGCGGCTGTTTCCCCACTCCTTTACCACCCCTGGAGAGGGACCCCCGGTGACTTTGTGGTGTGGCTTAGTCTGATCCACACATTATGAACAGAAGCGATGTGTGCTCCCTCCAGGCCAGAGCATTTAATTGCTGGTGCAAGTACCGCCTACCCTTGTATCCTCTTCCGTCCTAGGCCTAGCACAGAGGCCATGAGTCTGTGGATTGTATCCTCTTCCCCTGCCACGAGACTGTGGACTCCCACACTGGAATGGGGGCTCCTCCACCAGCCGGGGTCCCTGGTGACTGTACGGAGTGGAGCCCACCCCTGCCAATCCAGCCGGACACAGAGTGCAAGTGGGAAATAAACTTGGTTGTCTGACCCCCCGAGATTCAGGGGATTGTTCGTTTCAGTCGCATAGCCTCACTAGTCCTGATGGACACAATAATAACAAAAGTTGCTGATTTTTGAGCTGAGGTGAGTGTGGGAATGTGCCATGTGGCCAGCAAGGGCCAAGCGTTCCAGGCAGTGGGAACAGCGTGTGCTAAGGCCTTCAGTGGGAGTGAGCAGGGTGTGTCCGGGAAAATCAGAGCGGTTGGTGGTCCCTTTTCTTTGTTCCCAGTACTAGTGGGAATTGGGCCTCTAGGGTTTTTTGGGGAGATTTGGGACCAGCTCCTTGCCTTGGGAGCAAGGTGAAGGGAGAGCTGGCTCCAAATCTCCCCAGAAAAATCCTAGAGGCCCAGAGAGCCAAGTCCTCTTACACGCATTGTCAGACATGTGTGCAGGAGTACTCGGCTCTCTGCTCCCCGGCTGTACCATCTCTCCGTCCAGCTGTGACCCCTAGGCCATGGCACAGACGGCGGGGGGGATCCAGCATGCTGCACTGTGAGGGGCTCATGCCCCACAGCTCCCCTGGGCAATGGCTCTGTGCTGCCACGCCCCATGTCATTTCCTCTCCTCTGGCCCCCCTGCCCAGTGCAGCCCCTCCATGGCCATCTGGACACCCATTTCTGTAACTGTCAGCTACTGGGAGCTGGAGCCCTTCACCCCAGTTCTCCTGTTCTCTGCTCCAATAGCCCAGGGTCAGCCACCTGGGTGCAAAACACCCATCTCCCTTTGCAGGCCCCTCAAATTTCAAGGAAGGCCTCTGGGCTCCCCTTAGCTCCAGCCACCTGGCCTGTCCTGTCCTGCATGGTGGTGATCTACAGCCTCCACCTACCTGGTCCCACCTCACAACGGGGGTTAGTGGTAGAAAGGGCTGAATGGGGACTAGAACTTAGAACAGGAGAGCCCGGAGCCTTCTGTCAACAGCGCCAAACCCTGGTGCTGCTTAAGTCCTTTAAGGAGCTAGAAGTGATTCAATATCCCTGGTATCCAGATCAGCGGTGGCAGCCTGGGCCTGTGGGCCAGCGCCAGCCCTGACCCTGACCGTATCCAGATCAGCGGTGGCAGCCTGGGCCTGTGGGCCACTGTCAGCCCTGACCCTGACCGTATCCAGATCAGCGGTGGCAGCCTGGGCCTGTGGGCCAGCGCACCACCACCAGCCCTGACCCTGACCTGCTGCTTAGCCTACCGGTCCCCAGAGGCCTGCAGCCAAGAGGCACCAGTTCCCACTCCCATAAAAGCAAAGGAGAGGCTGGATGCGGTGGCTCACGCCTGTAATCCCAGCACTTTGGGAGGCCGAGGCCGGCGGATCACAAGGTCAGGAGATCGAGACCATTCTGGCTAACACGGTGAAACCCCGTCTCTACTAAAAACACAAAAAAAATCAGCCAGGCGTGGCGGCGGGTGCCTGTAGTCCCAGCTACTTGGGAGGCTGAGGCAGGAGAATGACGTGAACCCGGGAGGCGGAGCTTGCTGTGAGCTGAGATCGCGTCACTGCACTCCAGCCTGGGCGACAGAGCGAGACTCCATCTCAAAACAAACAAACAAACAAAACACAAAAAACAAACAAACAAAAAAGGCAAGGACAGCTCTCCTGAGCCTGTCAGGAGCCCCAGCAGAGGAAAACTGCACTGGGCTGGCGAGGGCTGGATCCGTGCTTCCCTGCCTCGGTGTCCCTTTGTGCCCACAGAGGCCCTGAGATGCTCTAGCACTTGACAGGAAACCACCAGGCACAGTCTCTGGCCTCACGATCCCGCTCCAGGAGTCCACCCAAAGGAAACGGCATCCCAGTATCAAGGTGTCTAGAGATGTGAAGGCCAGAAACGTGAAACCACCCAAGCATCCTTTGGCTGGGGATGTGTCACATAAATCATGGGACACCTGTCAGGTGGACAACTATGCAGCGCGAATCAGGAAAGCATCTGGTTCGAAGGGACATGACAAGTGTAGCTTCAGTCTGCAAGGAGCCATGCAGAGTAAGGGCTTCTTCCTCCTGACCTTTGGCTCCTCTTCCTCATGGCCCCAACGTGGCTGCTGGGCTTCAGGCAGGAAGCAGGAGAGATCAAAGGGCAAACCCAGTGGCTTTTCTCAATGGCCAGAGACAGGTCACACCCCAAATTATGGGAGGCTGAAGGGGTAGTTTTAACTGGCCCAGGACAAATGGGGGGCTCAGAGGTGAGAGAGAGGGTAGGGAGGAGAGCTACAAAATGAGCTCTGAGTTCATTTTAAGTAGAAGCAAACAAGAGGTGCAGCAGCAGGCAGAAATGGCTATGTACACACAGGCCTGCAATACAAATAACCCCTCTGGGAGTGAAGCTGGGAGAGGAAGAAATTAGTCTTTTTTTTTTTTTAGACGGAGTTTCACTCTTGTTGCCCAGGCTGGAGTGCAATGGCACCATCTCAGCTCACTGCAACCTCTGCCTCCCAGGTTCAAGCAATTCTCCTGTTTCAGCCTCCCAAGGAGCTGGGATTACAGGTGCACGCCTCCATGCCCAGCTAATCTTTGTACTTTTAGTAGAGACGTGGTTTCATCACATTGGCCAGGCTGGTTTCACACTCCTTACCTCAGGTGATCCGCCCGCCTCGGCCTCACAAAGTGCTGGGATTACAGGTGTGAGCCACCGTGCCCGACCAAAATTAATCACCTTTTATAAAATTGCTTTGACAAGTGATTGGGTTAAAGGTGACTGTGATGCTTGAACCCCAGAGGCGGAGGTTGCAGCGAGCCAAGTCGCCCCACTGCACTCCAGCCTGGGCAACAGAGTAAGTCCTTGTCTCAGAAAAAAAAAAAAAAAAGGTGACTGTGATGGTTGTAAAGTGTGTCTGCCAATTGCCTTCTCACCAGTCAGCACTCTTCCCACCTAGCAGGGGAGTCCAACTCTCCACCCCTTGATTAGAAGGCCCACTCGACTCCCAGTGAACAGACACAGCATGACTTCTGAGGCCGGGACCTGAAAGGCAAAATGGCCTCCACCTGGTGCTCACATTGCAACTCCACCTTGAACACTGGCTGCCATGTTGTGAGGAAGCCCAGGCCACGAGGCTGCCACGTGGGGGTGCTACGGCTCTGAAATAAAATCTTAAGCCCCACTGACTGACTGAATGGACCTGTTTTGGCCAAGGAGACCTGGCCATGACTAAGACAGGTCAGTCACGCCGCAGTACGCTCCTTCCTCACTAATCAATATCAGATTTTTTTCTTCAGAGTTGAACAGAAACTAGCCCTGAAAACAAACAAAAAAAGGGAAGTCTCCTCTGCAGACTCTAACATCAACCAACCTTTATATTTTTCAGTATTAGATATAATTATGTAGTTTTACTTCATACCCCTCATCTGCACTTTTACAGACAACAGATGCAGAACCGTCCACGGGTCCTTGCTCGGAAGCTTCCTTCCTGTGGAGGAAGATGTTGAGGTAGCCATCTGTAGTTGCTGCAAAGAAGTTTATTGCTATTTTCTTATGTTATTATACAAAACTAGATTTGCTTAAAACATTTCCCAGTCTCTTTAAAGGAATACTAGTTAGTGGGAGGCCACAGCTGGTAAATTACCCTCAGTAGTAGTTTCAAGTAGTCCATAACTATAAAAATCGTTACAGCCAGGATATGTCGGAACAGAACACTCCCACTGGGGTCCTCAGCCTTGGATGTCAGCTCGGCCCCCCAAGGGGTCCCTACACCTGGAAGCTGATTCCACTCATTAGTCTCGAGCTGGACGCATGTGGAGTTCATGTGGAGTTGCAGCTGACTGGCTGGTGGGCTGAGTCTGGCCTCCCATTGTGGAGCATGGGCGCCAGCCTCACTGCACGGTCACCCTAGGGCATATGCCGCAGGCTTTTGTGGCATTCCTGTGGCCAGCCCAGAGGCAGGCAGGGGCTGTCTGGGGTTCGCCATATGCACCATCACCTGGGCTTGGGGCGAGCTGGAGGAGCCACTGAGGCTCAGAGCTCTGGGGATCCCAGGGTCTTTGTCCACGCTGCGGGTCACACTGGCCAGCTTGCTGGTGCTCTCAACATGGTCTCTGTGGAGAGAGGAGGCATGAGTCGGCAAAAGAGTGTAGATAGGGTTTAACCTCCAACTCCATACCTTCCCAGGTACCCAGGCCCTGGGCCTTCAGTGGGCCTGGGGCAACTGTCGACCTGAGCACTGGGGAGCTCGCTTCCTCCTTCCAGGAGCTGCCCTGCACCCTAAGGTGCACAGAGGCCATTCCATCTCCCTGCTGGGCCCTGTTGGCAAGTGGGTCCTTCATCCACACAACCAGGGCGTGGCCCAGGAGTCAGACACTCGCCCCTCTAAGGTGTGGGAAGGGACTTCCTGGGACTCATTCAGAGTGTGCAGAAACCACCAGGAACCCAGCTGCCTGGCCAGGGCCTGGGACGTCCCAGGCAGAGGAGGGATGCTGGGGAGAAGGAGGTCAAGGGGAATACATCTTCCCTCCTGCCAGGCCTGCCTCTTTGGTGGCCAGGAGCTGGATCACCCACCTGCTCCACCCTCAGTCCTCTCGTGGCTCTCCCACCCCGCAGACAAAAACCAAGCCATTCCCCAGGCTGACCAGACCTTGGCCCTGCCCCATCTCCAGCTTCCACACACACTGGCCTCTGCTCCATGTGGGCTGCCTGGCGGCTCCCACCTCCAGCCCTTTGCCCTTTCTTCCTCTCAGAGGCTGTCTCTCTCCCCTCCCAAAGCAGGCTCTCTTAGTCCTTTCACTTCCGGCATCACCTCTTCCAGGAAGCCTTCCTGGACCACAGCTCCCACCCACAACTAATTCTCAGAAAAACTCTAGTAAGTAGTAGGAAATAAATGATCTGCTTATGCAATGAGTAAGTTAAAGAATCAATAACTGGTGGAGACAAAAGGTAGCTTCGGGGAGCCGGGAGCCAGACTGACTTCACCCAGCCTCTCTTACTGGTTGTGTGGGAGTCTACACAAGTTTCTTAATCTGACGGTTCTTCACCTGGAAAATGGGATAAAAGTAGTGCCCACCCCTAGGTGAAAAGAGTTAATATTTGAAAGAGTTCAGAACAGTGCCTGTCACATTGCAACTTCTGAGAAGTACTTATGAAATAAAAACAAGGTCAAGAGGCAAACCTCACCTTGCTCAAGGAAATTTACCATCTATGGAGGTAGCCTGGGCCCTGCCTGAGGGGTGGGCGGTCCCAGAACAGGCAGATCCCGAGGATCCTGCCTGGCAGCCCGGGGCCCAGGGCTGGGGACTCAGGGAACTCTGCCTCCATTAGCTGCGTAGCCCTGGGCAGGAGCTGGCTTCTCTGAGTCCCCACGAAGCTGGGCTGAGTGCTCGAGGTCCCCATGTGTGCGAGAGCTCCGGGAAAGGGCTCTGCCCGAAGCGTCCCCCTCCCAACCCCCCTCAGCCTCACCACCACTTCCTGCCTCTTGCGCTGACTATCAGAGTCCCCCAAGCTGGCCTCCTCCAGCCTCTCGCAGCCCTGTCAGGGTGCCTCCCTCCCGCCCTGGCTGTCTCACTCCCCCGGGGAGGTGAACACAGCTCTGCTCTGTACACAGATCCGTGGTCACTCTTGGACGGGACGCACACGTCCAACCACATACTGCGCAAGTTCCTGCAGTGGAAGAGACAGTGTCTGTGGCGCTGGGACCAGGCAGACGTGTGGCCCCAAACGGCACCCCTGGGAGCCCCTCTGGCCAGCAAAGCCCCTGCAGCAGCAGCAGCAGCTGTGGCTGCCATCATCTCGGACACCGTGTTGCCTTGAGAGGCAATTATTCCTTCCCCCATTCCATGGGCACTTTTCCCAGTTATGACACAGGACGATGTGGTCTCAGTAATGGGGAGTGGGATCACAGGTGGGGCAATGGAGGAGCTCTGAAACTGGCTTTGGATATCTCACTACCCAAAAGGAAAGGCATTAGCCACCATGGCCCCAACAAAACTAAAATAAAAAGGAAAGGGGGCCAGGCATGGTGGCTCACACCTGTAATCCCAGCACTTTGGGATTACACTTTGGGAGGCTGAGACGGGTGGATTGCTTGAGACCAGGAGTTCGAGACCATCCTGGCCAACATGGTGAAACTCCATCTCTACTAAAAATACAAAAATTAGTCTGATATGCTGGCACGTGCCTGTAGTCCCAGCTACTCGGGAGGCTGAGGCAGGAGAATTGCTTGAACCCAGGAAGCGGAGGTTATAGTGAGCAGAGATAGCACTACTGCACTCCAGCCTGGGCGACACAGTGAGACTGTCTTCAAAAAAAAAAAAGAGGAGCTGGGCATGGTGGCTCACGCCTGTAATCCCACACTTTGGGAGGCTGAGGTGGGCGGACCATGAGGTCAGGAGATGGAGACCATCCTGGCTAACACGGTGAAACCCTGTCTATACTAAAAATGCAAAATATTAGCCGGGCGTGGTGGCGGGTGCCTTTGGTCCCAGCTACTCGGGAGGCTGAGCAGAAGAATGGTGTGAATCCGGGAGGCGGAACTTGCAGTGAGCCGAGATCGCACCACTGCACTCCAGCCTGGGCGACAGAGCGAGACTCCAGCCTGGGCGACAGAGCGAGACTCCAGCCTGGGCGACAGAGCGAGACTCCATCTCAAAAAAGAAAAAAAAAGGAAAGAGGCCTAATAAATTTATAGCCAATCGATGGGTCAGGTGCCCTCCTGCAACACATGGAACAAAACATTAGGAGGTAATTCAGCAGAGAAAATGAGAAAATGACTAATGCCAGCAATGGCACTGGTGAGCCAAGGCTGGAGAAAACATTCTTCCTCGACATTTATCAAAGAAATGCTGACGGAAACCACCCACACAACTTGTAGCTACTGTAAGAAACAAATGATAAACAAATGGTCAGCACTCAGTGATGATGCAGTTACCAGAAAAACATGGCCACACTCACTCGTACCAGAGCTCCCAGGGAAATAATGTGGTCATAAAATATTCAGACTGTTGGGCCTAAACAATCGAGTCCTAGGATCACCTCCAAGAGTTGTGGTCTTGAAAAGAAAAGCAGCACTAAGCCAAAAGACACTGACCACGCCTGGCCACTCAGCAGGGGAGGGCCTAGCAGATGTTGGAAGCTTTGGAATAATGGGCTGCTGTAAGGAATGATAGCCTGGAGGCCTCAGACCACCATGGTGACCTGGAACGTGTTGCTAAGTGCAGAAGTCTCAATGGCAGCATTTCTGCTACATCCGTGTTGATGTCATACACACCTGAAGCACCAGGAAAGGAGACAGAAAGGTGAATTCCTTCCCTGCAGGTGTTGGCTAGACCCAGCATGGTGTGTGCAACCCAGGGCCGCACAGATCACCACCTCCCGTGCCTCAGTTTCCCTGTCTGCATAAGGTCGTAAGAGTGGCAACGACACTAACAGCCAGTATTCACTGAGCTCTCCCCTGGGCCTGGCGAGAGAGGCACACACCTGGACTCAGGTAACCTCAACAACTTGAAAGGGTGGGTGCTACTGCAATCCTCACTTTACACATAAGGACACCGAGGCATGGAGCTGTTACAGTCATACAGTGAGGCCATGAGGGCTGGGACCAAGTGCACTGCAGCCTTGAAAGGCTCCAGCAGGAGGGCCTGAAGGAAGGGAACACAAGCTCAATGATGTCGTCTCGATGGCTTCCCGGAGCCCGGCGTCTAAGCGCTGTTCTCCACCCAGAGAAACAGGCTCCCGGAGAAGCAGTGAACCACAGAGTTCGGCACAGAAAGCACGAGATGGGCCTGGGACATCTTGTGCAAGGCAGGAAGCACTCACAGACTGATGGGGATGGATCAGAAGGACACAGGCCATGGTTTGGCACAGCTGCCACTGCCAAGAACAACTGGAGCCCACAAAAAGTGTGCTTGAAAATAATACGGGGGAAGGGGCATGAATGAGGTGGCCTGGCTGAGCTGGTAACCGTGAGAACGGAAGGCAGGGACAGGAGATCCGTGACGATATTCTACTTTTGTGTATTTGTGAACTTTTCCCAAAATAAGTTTCAGAAAAGAATATTCATGAGTTCATGTGATGCTAAAACAACAAAACAAAATCGAAAGAAAAAAAGGGAAGAAAAAAACAGTTCATCCTCATCCTTGATAGAAGGAATGTCAGAAGTGCAACAGAATGAACAAAGTCACCATTCTGTAATGCCCAAGGCAAGAGCAGATCTGGCAGGATCACCCTTGCACGCTGAGACCACGAGTCGGAGGAAGCTGAGACAGTGGAGGGACGCTTGCAGAGCTCCTTCCTCAGGCTCTGACAGTGGAGGGATCTGGGGGCTTCGCCTCAGCCAAGAGACCCCATTCCATGTGGCGTCTTGGGGTGGCCTGGCCCATGTCTGTGATCTGCACACGCAGCCCTGTACCAGAAGTGCACGGCTGGACCTGGTCACACAGAAACCCCAGACAGATCCAGACAGGAGCCTCTGCATGGGCCCGCTGGCCTGGAGCCCTCAGAGGACTACACCATGAAAATCTGAAGGCCCATACCAGTTTAAGGAGCCCAGAGACCTGGCAGCTGAGCGCTGCATGTGATTACGGACCAAAGGGTGGGCACGCTCAATGCTGCTCACCACACTGAGACGTTCTCCACTCGACAGGCCACATGCAATCAATATTAGATTTCTGTTGGTTTTTATTTTTTTTGGGACGGAGTCTTGCTCTGTTGCCCAGGCTAGAGTGCAGTGGCGCAAACTTGGCTCACTGCAGCCTCTGCCTCCTGGGTTCAAGTGATTCTCCTGTCTCTGCCTCCTGAGTAGCCGGGATTAAAGCCACACGCCACCACCCAGCTAATGTTTGTGTTTTTAGTAGAGATGGGATTTCACCATGTTGGCCTGGCTGGTCTTGAACTCCTGACCTCAGGTGATCCTCCCACCTCAGCCTCCCATACTGCTGGGATTACAGGTGTGAGCCACCACGCCTGGCCAATCAGTATCAGATTTCTGGACTCAGAAAAAGAATGTCCTTGTATTGGTTCAGGGCAAAAAAAAAGTATGTGTGTAATAAGAGAGAGAGAAAGGAGGGGGAGAGAGCACGGGAGGGAGAGCACGTGACTGAAGCTCAGTGCAGAGCCCCGCTGGGTGTGGGTGGAGGGAACACAGGTGTGTAGAAGCTTCAGCTTCCCTGGAGGGTGGACCCTCCAGATGAAAACAATCTGGGGGGCAGTTCTGAGTCCTAGAATGTTAGTCAGGACAGAGGGCTGCAAGGACCCCCAGCCTCTTGTTTTAGAGATGGGAGTTAAGGTTCTGGGTGGGCCAGGTGTTCTCAGGCTGTCAGAGTGTGGGAGCAGCAGGCGGCCCAGGGCCTGACCCAGCTGGAGCCGTTGTCCCCCAGCATGCCCCCCACCCAGACCCGGGCTCACGTGGTGAAGCTGTGGTTGTCGTGCGCCTGGCTGGACCTGCTCACGGGTTTGTTGAAGTGCTTGAGGCCAAGGTATGCGGCCTGCACTGTCTCCAAGTCCTCATCTCTCAGCTGGGACCACAGCTGGGCTGACCTGGAGGAGAGTTTGGGAGGAAGGACTCTGAGCATGCACGTGTGTCCCCGACAGCGGAGAAAATGGGCTCCATGTAGGCCCACGGCACCGTCTGCAGGACCAGCACAGGCTGGCAAACCTCTCAAAGAGCTGGGCAGTGGATGTTTTAGGTGTGGTGAGACACATGATTTCTCCCACAGCGAAGCTCTGCCGCTGCAGCCCAAAAGCAGCCACACACCAGTAGACGATGAACATGGCTGTGTTCCAATAAAACTTTAGTTACAAATACAGGTGGTGAAAAGTTCTAGGGCTGGACAGTGCTAATGGCTGCACTACATTGGGAACATACTTAATGCCACTGAACTGTAGACGTTAAAAAGGTAAGTCTGATGTATTGATATTTTACCACAATAAAAAATAAAAACAAAAAATAATAATAAATTACCACCGGGAAAAAACCTGACAGAGAGCTGGACTTCACTGGTGGGCTGCAGCTAACCAGCCCTCCATCTACAGTGACAGTGACTCCCTCTTAAGGTTTAGGGGGCGTGTGTGGCAGCCCTGCAGGCCGTTAACACAGCAGAGTGCATACTGCATATGTGTGCAGGTTTAAGAATAGAACAATCCCAGCCTGGCCGCGGTGGCTCACGCCTGTAATCCCAGCACTTTGGGAGGCAGATCACCAGGTGGATCCCTGGTCAGGAGTTCGAGACCAGCCTGGCCAACACGGTGAAACCCCATCTCCACGAAAAATACAAAAAATTAGCCAAGTGTGGTGGTGCATACCTGTAACCCCAGCTTCTAGGAAGGCTGAGGCAGGAGAATTGCTTGAACCCAGGAGGTGGAGGTTGTAGTGAGCTGAGATCACGCTACTGTCCTCCAGCCTGGGCGATAGAGCAACACTCCATCTCAAAAAAAAACAAAAAACAAACAAAAAACAATCCCCCATGAACCCATGGCCTGGCCTAAGAGAGCAGGGCCTCAGAGGCCCACATGCTCCCCGGCTGTGATGCTGCCCGTGGCTGCTGCATGGGCCAGGAGCAGCACTTGGTGAGACGCAGGCTCAGAGCGGTGGTAGGAACGGGTGTGTGCCCTGAGGGCAGTGCCGGGGTTCCCAGGAAACACTCTGCCCTTTCCTCCTCCCATGGTGCCAAGAGGCGCCTCCCGGGAGGACCCTGAGACCATGAGGCCACCATACCTGTCGGAGCGCCGCCGCTCACTCTTCTTCATGCACTTGAGGAGGCAGCAGGTGAGGAAGGCCATGGACATAAGCAGGATGATGGCGCAGCTCACGATGGAGGCAATCACGGCCACCCTGAAGCCAAAGGTCTCGTGTGGTGGCACCACTGTGTGGGAGACAACCACAGCTCCTGGACGAGGTTTGCCCAGATCTGCCTGGCCCAGGGGTTGGGGATCTCAGGGGTGGTAGGGGCAGGGCCTGGGTGTGTACAGGGCCCGGGCAGCCCTCAGTGAGCCCTGTTGCATGGTAAGGGGGCAGTGAGGTGCTGGGGGCTGAGGCAAGGATCTGTGCAAACTATATTTGGAGGTGGGGCTATCAGAGAAGACTCTCCCCAAGAAGCAGGTATTTGAGCAGGGTGTGTAGGAGTATGCAGAGTGGCTAATTGAAGAGGGTATTTGAGCAGGGTTTTGTAGGGTGTGTAGGAGTTTGCAGAGTGGCTAATTGAAGAGGGTATTTGAGCAGGGTTTTGTAGGGTGTGTAGGAGTATGCAGAGTGGCTAATTGAAGAGGGTATTTGAGCAGGGTTTTGTAGGGTGTGTAGGAGTATGCAGAGTGGCTAATTGAAGAGGGTATTTGAGCAGGGTTTTGTAGGGTGTGTAGGAGTTTGCAGAGCAGCCAGTTAGAGAAGCTCTGGCAGGGAGTTCAGAGTGATGGCCTCCGTGGCTCCTACCCAGTGGAGTCCTGCCTGAGGAATGAAGGAAGGGCAGGCCACAGAGAGGAGGTGACCACAGACGGTGCTGAGGAGGCCTTGCCCAGTCCATGGTCTGGGTTCTCACAATGCCCCAAGGTGGCAACATTCTTCAGGGGGCCTACATTCCTTCTCAGGTCACTTTCCAGGAAGGCCCCAAATACTATGTATCTGCTATGTGACCTCAGCTATGCTCCAAACACTAGTTCCATCAGATTCTACTAGATGTTCTGGCTAAAAAAGGCCCCAGAATCCTAATTTGAGCAACACCATGTACTCCCCTAGTAGGGGCCACAGCCCTGTCCCCTGGTCCCCATTTCCCATGCTCCCTAGTGGATGCTGGCCACCCAGAATGGAGACTACATTTCCCAGTGGTCCCAGTGGACCACGTTCTGGCCAGTGGAGGATAAGAAGTGATGTGGGACAGCTTCTAAGAACCTTCCCTGAGATACTGGGGCCTGCCCTTTGGCCCTGGGGCCCCTCACCCCATAACAGCTGCCTGGAACACAGCTGCTGCCACCTTGAATCATGAGGCTGAGGGCATGCCCAGCAGAGCCATGCCAGGGAATGGGCCTGGCTCCCACTGCCATGGAGCCCACACAGGCCTGCCTGCCCACCCCGAAGGTTGAGCTCCATCATAGTTAATCCTAGCATTTTGGGTTTTCTGCCTCTCAAAATCTAATCCTAACACTCGCATTCTCAGAGAATCACCTAGCATGTGAACATTTTAAAGATTCTGAGAAGTCCGGCAGCATGAAAACCCAGAAGCTGCCAAACTATATTTTGACTCTGAGCCCTTTTCATGCACAAAACACATGAACATAATACACATGGCTTCATTCTGGACGTGTCATTCTGGGCACTGAAAAGGGACTACCTTGTGGACCCTCCAACACCTTTACAACAAATACAACCAGAAAACCATCTCCTCCCACAGACTGGGAGCTCCAGGGCCAGGCACATCGTGACCTTCCGTGTTGCCAGTACTTAGCATTCCTGATACATGAAATATCCTATTAAAGTTTGCCATGTCCATGTGTACATGAATGAATGAATGAATGAATGAACATAGTTTCCTGCTTAACAGATGAAAACATGCTGGCTCAGAGAGCTTGCGCAGCCTCTTGGCAGTGAGGGGCTAAGTCAGTAGCAGAGACAGGATTGGAGGCCCGCTGCTAGGCTTCGGGTCCACGCTGCCAACATGGCACTGGGAGGGCTGAGGGCCACCAGTTGGCTGCTGATATGTAAGCAGGCTGTCAGTGTTGGGAACGGGCTCCTACACACTGGCCCAGACCTTGTGAGTAGACACCCATGCCATCCCCACCCACACCATCCCCACCCGCGCCATCCCCACCCGCGCCATCCCCACCCGCGCCATCCCCACCCGCGCCATCCCCATGACAGGATTTGGGGCCATCCCCACCCGCGCCATCCCCATGACAGGATTTGAGGCCATCCCCCACCCCCAGAGCTACCGAGCTGAGAGAGGGGTCCTTACGTTTGCACACTGGAGACCCCGAAGACCACTCAGCGATGCTGCCCTTCCAGGTGCAGGTGAGGAGCCCGGACCCCACCATCTGGTGGTTGGAGGGACAGTGGAACATGAGCACGGTCCCCACGGAAGCACCATCGCCACGAAGGACTTGGAAGGTGGCTTGTGGGGGTAGCCGCAGCTGAGCGCAGGTGCCTGGGGAGAGAGGCAGGTGTGAGGCATGGCGGGTGGGCACGCAGGGCGGGGCTGGGCAGGACCCTGGAGGGAGGAGCTGGCATAGCATTGGGGAGCACAGGGGCGGGATGCGGCTCCAAAGGCCATTGGATGCTCTAGACGTCACATGGGGTCATCCAGACCCAGGGACAATGCAGAGCTGGATCCCTCCAGGAAGTACACGCTAGACGTTGAGGATTGGAGCGTTAAAAAAAAGAAACACATGTTAGAAGACAATAAAAGCAAATATACCTTCCCTGAAACACTGAGGCATTGCCTTTGATTATGACCTAAACACAGTTCCAAAGGCAGAAATCAGAACAAAAAAAAAAAAAAAGAGGGACAGAGAGAGAGCAACAGATTTGACTGCATACAAAGCAGAAAGCAAAAGCTTCTGAGGCTCCCTAATAATGGAAAACAACCAACTCAGGTGAAAAATTCGGGAAAGGATATTTGGAAAGCACAGGACAAAGGTTGGTTCGACAGTCTTAATTTATAAAGAGGTCTTACACATCAATGAAAACTGAATTTTCTGTTTTTTTAAAAAAACAACAAGTTCTAATGTGTGAACAAGCAATTCGCAAGGACACCAATGGCCCACAGTCATGAAAAATGCAGACCCACAGGCAACTGAGGAAATGCTGATTCAAGGGAGAGCTCATTTTTCCTGCATCAGTGAGATGAAGGCAAAAAGAAAACAATGTGCAAGTTGGCAGGGCCTGGGAAGCCCTGTACCTGGGCTGGGGTACAGATCCAACCTTTCTGCAGAGCGTTTGGTAAATTTGTTAAGCACCCTATGTTGCATACACACCCTCAGCCACAGGAAATAAGAATCTGCTGGCCGGGCGCGGTGGCTCACGCTTGTAATCCCAGCATTTTGGGAGGCCGAGGCGGGTGGATCACGAGGTCAGGAGATTGAGACCAGCTTGGCCAACATGGTGAAACCCCATCTCTACTAAAAATACAAAAATTAGCTGGGTGTGATGGTGCATGCCTGTAATCCAGCTACTTGGGAGGCTGAGGTGGGAGAAATGCTTGAACCAGGGAGTCGGAGGTTGCAGTGAGCCAAGATCACACCACTGCACTCCTGCACTCCAGCCTGGCGACAGAGCAAGACTCCGTCTCAAAAAAAAAAAAAGAATCTGCTGCCAAGATTACGGGGAAGCCCACCTCAGAACCATACGTAATAGAGAAAGGCTGAAACAACCCACGTCTCCCGCAGAAGGGAATGATTCCCTCACCCAGGTCCATCCAGATGGTAAAATACCAGGGAGCACTTACAGTGATGTTCTTGTTTTGTTTTGTTTTTTTTTAGACGGAGTCTCGTCCTGTCGCCCAGGCTGGAATGCGCAATGGCGCAATCTCAGCTCACAACAACCTCCGCCTCCCGGGTTCAAGCGATTCTCTTGCCTCACGCTCCCGAGTAGCTGGGATTACAGGAGTGTGCGACCACGCCTGGCTAATTTTTTGTATTTTTAGTAGAGACAGGGTTTCACCATGTTGGCCAAGCTGGTCTCGAACTCCTAACCTCGTGATCTGCCCGCCGTGGCCTCCCAACGTGCTGGGATTACAGACGTGAGCCACCGTGCCTGGCCAGTGACGTTCTTAAATGAGGACACAGAGATGCTCTGGATGCAGCAGCAATCGAGAATTTTTATAAAATTCTAATGACGACAACAGCTGGGACTGAGAAGATTACTGTGGCTAGACACCGTTGCACCTGCCTTACGTGTGCCATCATCTATCGGCACAGCAGCCTACCCGAGGAGAGCCATCATTATCCCCATCCACAGATGAGCAAACCGGGCAGAGGGTCTTACGACACTTTCTGCAGTCACACAGCTCTTATGCTGAGGGAAGACTTAGAACCAGACAAGGAGGCTCTGGTCTAACTTCACACACATTCACACACACACGCAATGCCTATGAGTTGTCGTGCTATGCATGTATCAGCAGCTGGTTACTTTTCACAGCAGTGAAGTGTTCCATTGTGCAGATGGGCCTCAGCGTGTATCCCTGTTCCCTGCATCTGAGTTGCCTCTGGGTTTCAAGGATGTTCAGTGAAACTGCTAAAGACATCCTCGAGCAGGTCTCGTGGTGTCCAAATGCAAGAGGCTCTTCCTCCTGCTTATCTGGTATGTCCTGATTTTTGGGCACTGACAGTGGACCGCTGGTGCACCACAGGTAAAGAACAGGGACAGGCCGGATGCGGTGGCTCACGCCTGTAATCCCAGCACTTTGGGAGGCTGAGGTGGGCAGATCACAAGGTCAGGAGATTGAGACCATCCTGGCTAACACGGTGAAACCCAGTCTCTACTAAAAACACAAAAATAATTAGCTGGGTGTAGTGGCGGGTGCCTGTAGTCCCAGCTACTCTGGAGGCTGAGGCAGGAGAATGGCGTGAACCCAGGAAGCGGAGCTTGCGATGAGCTGAGATTGCGCCACTGCATTCCAGCCTGGACAACAGAGTGAGACTCCGTCTCAAATTAAAAAAAAAAAAAGAACAGGGACAGCAGGCCGTGCTGATTCATGGCATGTGCAGAGGCAGAGACTGACTGGAGACAGCAGTGGTGAAGGGCCACCTAAACATCTCTGTGTCTGTCTCCCTCTGCACAGGCAGAGACTGGCACCCAGAGATGGGGGTGATGGCGGGGACAAAAACTGGGGCATGCAGAGTCTGAGGGACTCCAATATTCCACACTGACCTGCTATGACCTTCCCCTGTCCTCTGTGTGCTGTGTCTCCAGCCAGGACCATGCCCCGGGTGCCAGGCATGGAAGTCCCACTGCCCACCGAGCCTGAGATGAGACCTAGCCAAGCTTCCGAGCTCCCCAAACCTGCTCACCATGTGGCTTCTCCTATTATAACTTTAATTTAAATCAGCAGTCCCTCCATCCTTCAGTTGCTTGGGCCCCAAACCTTGAAACCTACTTTCTCAATCCACAACCAATTCGCCAGCAAACTCTGGGGACTCTAATTTTAAAATGTTTACCAAAGACATCTGAGGTAGGCTGCATACCATCCCCCAGATTTATTCACGTCCGCCCAGGAACAGTCACGTGGGCTGGCTGTGTGCCCAGGCAAGGTCTTCATCTGCAAGACCTATCACTCCATTTCTTATCCCACATCTGAATTCACAAGCCCATCTAGGGGGAAACTGAGGCTCAGAGAGGTCACACCACCCCTTGCCCCAGCCATGTGTGCCATGGCTATTAATGGGCATCAGTAGAGCTGGGCTTCAGGCCAGGCCCGGAAGTCTGGTCTGGGATCTGGCAAAAGTGGAGGTTACCAGAGGCTCTGTGCCATGGCAGTGACAGTGAAGGATGGCATTTGGCTGTAGCTGGCCAGGTCACATTGACCTACTCCCCAGCAGCACCCGGTGGTCCCCCTGCCCCCTGGCCTCTGCGTCACTGAGGACCCCAGGGCCTTAACAAGCTGAGATGCTGAGGGTGAGAGTGTGGAGGCAGGGGTGGCCCTCAGCAGGGGTTGAGGCAGACATACCTCACCACTTTGGGAAGGTCAGGCTACACTGCTTCTGCCCTGACGACACTTGCTAGTAAGGGAGGAAGAGGTGTGGGAGGGGCTTATGGTTTGTGTACTTTTCTGGGAGGGATGGGGGAGGGACTGATCTAACACAAACAACACTGGGGGCCTAATGGGTGCCGTACTGCATTATAGCCCTATGAGGAGGGTGGTCTACCCCTAGCTTACAGATGTGGAAACTGAGGCACAGCAAAGCTCAGTGGCATGCCCAAGGTCACTCAGCAGGAAGGTGGTAGGGATGGAACTGGGACCCAGTACACTGTGTCAGGAGCCCCACCTGATGGCCAAGCCCAGGGGGTAGCATCTGCCCCATCTCACCTCATCCTGGGCAGCTTCCACTCTAGTTCCCACTCCTGGCTGCAGTTACCTCTAGTAACCCTTCTCCCCATTCCAGAGTTGCAGCTGGAAATGTGATCACCACTGAAAACTACATTTCCCAACCTGCCCTCCAGGGAGCTGTCACGTGACTGAACCTGGCCAATGAGGTGTGAGCATAGATGCTGTGCCAATTCTGCATTGGGGAGTGTGATGGTTAATACTGAGTATCAACTTGGTTGAATGGAAGGATGCAAGTATCGTCCCTGGGTGTGTCTGTGTCTGTAAGGGTGTTGCCAAAGGAGATTAACATTTGAGTCAGTGGACTGGGAGAAGACCCACCCTTAATCTGGTGGGCACCATCCAATCAGCTGCCAGTGAGGCTAGACTAAAAGCAGGCAGAGGAACGTGGAAGGACTAGACTGGCTCAATCTTCTGGCCCCCATCTTTCTCCCATGTTGGATGCTTCCTGCCCTTGAACATCAGACTCTAAGTTCTTCAGCTTTTGGATTCTTGGACTTACACCAGTGGCTTGCCAAGGGCTCTCGGGCCTTTAGCCACAGACTGAAGGCTGCACTGTCTTCTCTACTTTTGAGGTTCTGGGACTCGGACTGGCTTCCTTGCTCCTCAGCTTGCAGGCAGCTTATTGTGGGACTTCACCTTGTTATCATTAGAGTCAGTACTCCTTAATAAAACTCCCCTTTATATATACATCTATCCTATTAGTCCTGTCCCTCTAGAGAACCCTGACTAATACAGGGAGCAAAGATGGTGGACGTGTGAAGGGGCAGAGCAACCTCTCGGATCCTAAGAAGAGACAGAAATAAACTCCAACTGGAGTTAGGCCACTGTTTTTTTGTGGATTTGTTAAGTGGACTGGCTCAAGTCTGATACAAAGCTTCAGCAACACGTCTCAGCCCAGTGCCCTATTTAGCGCTTGGGATTCTGTCTGGCCCACTCGGGGCCCCAAGGTGACAATAACAAAAGTAGGAATATCAGCAGCAACAATAATAATAGAAGGAAGAATAATGCCTAGGCTGTACTCTGTGCTGAGCGCTTCAGCAGCTGTCGGGCGACAGTACATAAACGAACACACGGGGTCCAGCCTGTGGGGCTCCCAGGCC